AACATTAGACCGGCCACACAGGTCACTTCCTGTTTTTAAATCACTTTTAAAAACACATCTGTTCTCACTGACATTTAACCCAGTGTGAGTTAAACTAGTGTTCTATTGTTCTCTATCCACCTTCTTCTGATGTCTTTAAATTTAGTTTTATTGTTGTTTTTAATCTCGGCCTTTGTTGTATTTTGTTGTTGTTATTGTTCAGCACTTTGGTTACAACTCGTAGTTTTTAATGTGCTTCATAAATAATTTGACTTGACGTCATGTGTGTTTCAGCAAGGAGCCAGCAACGCTGAGAAGTTTGACTATGTGAGTATGAAGTTAGACATTATTAAACCAAGTCAGCTTCTTGGTTAAAATACTGCATGAAGTCCACAAAGTTAAGGTTTCTTTATGGATGTGTTTTAATTTGTTTGGCAAATATCCACAAATCTTTTAAATTATTATACGAGAAGCTTTTCTCAATAGAATTTCTGCAGAAGTGATAAATATTTGATTAAACCAGCTTAAAAAAATATTTGAACTGGTTAAAACACGAAATCCTGAGTTTTAGCCTAAATCCAATGTTTTTATGGAAGGTTTTACTTTTGTTTGTTTGTCTCTACAGGTGATGGACTTCATGAACAAACTGGCAGGAAACGAGTACGTCGGTTTCAGCAACGCCACGTGAGTTCATCATCACATCAGACGCGATGCACCGATCCCATATTAGTATCGGTATAGGAAAGAAAGAAAAAAGGTCTTGATTGGGTATCGATAGGGATGCACCGATCCGGTATTAGTAGCGGCATCGAAAGAAATTCTTGGTTGAGTATCGGTGATAATGTGACCAATCCATAAAGACAGGAGCTGATTGATGTTTATTTTAAATATCTGCCAACCAAACTATTGAAGCTATTGTTTTTCCTCTTATTTCAGGTCCTTTATTTTTTATTTTGCACTATGTTTAGAATTCCTGAACCATTTGAAAGGTATTGTTTTTGTCAATTTTAATTATTATTTATTTTACATTGGATGTTATACTCATAACTGCACTGACTGAACAAATTAAAGTTGTGTTGTGTTTACGTTTTCTTCTGAAGCTGTTCGTGTGTTTGTGTGCTGTACTGGTGTGGAGTTTTCAATAAGTTTGTAATTCAGTACATTTATGTCTGCGTTTAAAAAACAAAATGTTTTAAGTCAATTCAGCACTGTTTTTCCTGTATCGGATCGGTATCGGATCGGTATAGACCGATACTAAACATCAGATATGGGTATCGCAAGTGAAAAAAGTGGATTGGTGCATCCCTGCTTTAAATAATTTGTGTGGCAGCAGTTTGCAAAATATAGACGGCTTTAGGACCACATGGCACGTTATTCGAGCCATGTTGTGAGAAATTTCCCTTGCAGCTCTACAGCTACGTGCTGAAAAGAAGAGACTCTGCAATTATTTGGTGTTTAAGTGTGCTGTGTTGGTGCAGAGTTTTTAGTAAATTTGTAATTCAGTACATTTATGTCTGCATTAAAAAAACGTTTTAAGTTAATTCAACACTGTGTTTCTGTATCGTATCGGTATCGACCGTCACTAAACCTCAGATATCTGTATCAGAAGTGAAAAAAGTGGATCGGTGCATCCCTATCAGACACTCAGTCAGGCTTTAACTCGAGTTCAAACCGAGTCAGGTTTTAACAATCCCATTTTTGTTTGTGTCCCAGTTTTCAGTCGGAACGGGAATCTGGAGACAGGAACTTTGCCATCGGCTACTATCTGAAGGAGAAGAAGGTGAGGACCAGGTTGAACTTTTTCTCTTTTAGAAGCTCAACTTTAAACACATTTTTATTTGTCAGCTGGCGTCAACTAAAATACTTCAACCCACATCTGTCTTTTTTGTTTGTTTCTGACTAAAGGGCAGCAGCAGGTTTTAGTTTCTGATGTTTTTGTCTCTTCAGTGTTTTCCTGAGGGAACGGACATGACCTCCATCCTGGACTTCTACTTCCAGGTACGTTTGTTTAGCGTCCTGCTTGTTTCGTGGTCGATTAAGTTCTTTGAAAAGAATCTGTGCTTGCCTGATAAATAGGATTAAAAAGTTATCCTGAGACGTTTCTGTAGGACCATGAATCTGTTCCTCTCTTCCAGCTCTGCTCCATCGAGGTGACCTGCGAGAGCGCCAGCGTCATGGCGGCGACTCTGGCCAACGGCGGCTTCTGTCCAATCACCGGAGAGCGCGTGCTGAGCCCCGAGGCGGTGCGGAACACTCTGAGTCTGATGCACTCCTGCGGCATGTACGACTTCTCCGGACAGTTCGCGTTCCACGTCAGTACCTCACCATGCTGGGCTGGGAGGAGGAGTCCACGGTTACGCCTCGCACTGTCCTGTTTAAGCTCCTCCCACTTCGTTTGTTTTAGGTGGGCTTGCCGGCTAAATCGGGAGTCGCTGGAGGTATCCTGTTGGTCGTTCCCAACGTGATGGGCATCATGTGCTGGTCTCCTCCTCTAGACAAACTGGGAAACAGCGTGAGAGGAATCCAGTTCTGCACGGTAACCTTCAGCTGAAACAGCCGAACAAAAATAATTCAACAGGAATAAAAAGATTGTTTCTGATCAAAGAACCGGAAACTGAACGACTGAGATGTTTCTTTTATCCTTCAGGACTTGGTTTCTCTCTTTAACTTTCACAACTACGACAATCTGAGACACTTTGCAAAGAAACTGGACCCTCGCAGGGAGGGGGGAGACCAGAGGGTGAGTCTGCTGCTTCACGACACACAAAACAGGATTTTACGTAGATTTTCGGTCTGTTCTTGTCTTCCTGTTCTTGCACACTAACGCTAAAAATACCGTACTTGCCGCCGTACACGACGCACTGCTGTATAAGTCGCATCAGTCCAAAAATGTCTAATAAAGTGGAAAAAAAAACATAAATACATCACTTTGCCATATAAGTCGCATCTATTATGCATCACCACTGACCACTCGGAAACGTGGGCCGGTGTTGTGCCAAAAATCGATGCGCTGCCAAATGGAGGCCACAGAAGCGTGCACAGGAGAACTTTAACAAGAATTTAACCAGATTAACACTTAAAAACAGTTGTTTGCTCGAAATTATAGTAAAGGTGTGTCTCAGTTGAACTTTTCCTTAATAAATGCACTTTGATGGTCAAATCAGCTGAATTTCAAAAGCCGATATGTGCAAGTAGGCGCGTTCACGGGAGGACACTCTGTGTATTTCTTATAAATTTAACAAGATAACCACCTAAAAATAATTGTTTGCTCAATTTTATAGTAAAGGTGTGTCTCAGTTGAACTTTTACTTAAAATAAATGCACTTCAATGGTCAAATCAGCTGCATTTCGATGGGGCGGCCCGGCAAAATGAAGCTGATTTGACGGTTGCTCCAGCCGAGCTGGACGAAGGTGGCAGGCTATGGCAAGCCGACTGTGTCATTAATAGCCACTTTTACTTATTACATGATACAACGGCATGCCACTACTTGAGTGCCATCTAGTGGCTGAAAATGGTAGTGTTCAAAAATTTCAGTCAGAATGAATGAAAACTGTCATATCTCAGCCAAAAATCAGTTTATGAATATGGAAAAAAAAATCATAAATGCGTCGCTTCAGCCTACAAGTCGCAGAGCATGCAAATTATGCAAAAAAACCCCCCACAACTTATAGGTTGAAAAACATGGTATTTGTTTGCTCGACATTATAGTGAAGGTGTGCCTCAGTTGAACTTTTTCTTAATAAATGCACTTTAGTGGTCAAATCAGCTGAATTTTGTCTGGGTGGCAAAATGCAGCTGATTTGACGTTTGCTCCAGGAGTTCCGGAGCGAGATGAAGGTGGCACAGTATGGCAAGCGGTGTCTCATTAATAGCCACTTTTATGTATTAATGAGAAATTTGGCTTGCCATATTAAGCGGGCCCTCTAGTGGCTGAAAATGGTAGTGTTCAATATTTTCCATGTCAGAATGAATGAAATCGTCAGATCTCAGCCTAAAATTGGTTTGTAAATATGGGGAAAAAAAACATAAGTAAGTCGCTTCGCTGTTTTAAGTCGCAGACATGCTAATTTATGCAAAAAGGTGCGACTTATACAGCGAGAAGTACGGTACTCTTTGATTCATTTCATTTGATCGTCTCAAAGGTTAAAAAGGAGCCTCAGAGTTCTCCAACATGAATGTTATTTATTTTTTTTGTTTTAATATGAAAACGATCAACCCGAATTGCTTGTGTTAATACGAGACTTGATTATAGTTGCTTCCCATCTCCCGTCTTCTTCGTTGGTGTCGAACTCTTCTTCTTGTGTTGCAGGTGAAGTCTGTAATCAACCTGCTGTTCGCCGCGTACACTGGAGACGTTTCAGCCCTGAGGAGGTGCAGCAGCTTCGCAGTCTGTTTGTCTAAAAGTCTTAGAGTGTCTTTATTGTTTTGTCCTCACGTCCAGTGTCTCTGGGCAGGTTCGCGCTGTCCTCCATGGACATGGAGCAGCGGGACTACGACTCGAGGACAGCGCTGCACGTTGCTGCTGCTGAAGGTGAAGCGACGAGGACGAGGAGGAGGAGTTGCGTGTGCGGATAATGCTCACGCTCTGTTTGTGTTTCAGGACACGCTGAGGTGGTCCGCTTCCTGCTGGAGGCGTGTAAAGTCAACCCCGTCCCTAAAGACAGGTCTGTTCTACTCAAACCCTCACTTTGCTTCCATCTGAGGTTTACATCAACCTGCAGCAGAAAATTATTGTTTCAAACACAGACAGCTTCATGTTTTCTATCCCAACTTGTGGTTCGGATTTTAAACTTGCTGTTGCAGAGAGTAACATTTTTCTTTAATAGAAAAATGAAAAAAAAAAAAAACTGAACAAGCTTCCTTATTTTAAATTTAACTTATAACAACTATAAAATCTGATGAACAGAACAAATTTTTAGGTTTTTGTTTGAAAAATGTCTGTTGGTTCTTCAGTACTTTAGTTTAAAATACCCCAAAGTGACTCAGACTGATTCGGTTTTACACAGAGGTGTGCAACTCAAGGCTCGAGGGCCAAAAGTGGCCCTTGGACAATCTCCACCAGGCTCTCAATATGCTTGGTTTAAAAACACAAAATTTTAAATAAGGATTGATTTTTTTTTTTTTAAAGCAGCAATTTATCAACAAGACTTAAAGAAATGTAAATTAAACATCTTACGCAAAACTTTTTATAAACATCTTTTTAGTCATTGTGTTTCCAGAACTAGACCAGTGTTTCCCCTACCATTATACAAGCGGGGTGCCCCGCCCCGTTAAAAGAACTGACCACCCTGCCTACCAAACCAAACTGCGTACACCCCCCTCCACCCGTCGGCACCACTGGCGTAACGCAATACAGGCACGCTAGCTAAAAAGCTAGCTGAACACCTCCACCCCATCCCCACTCGAAAACTGCCGGTAAATGGTAAATGGACTGTACTTGTATAACGCCTTTCTATCTTATCAAGATACTCAAAGCACTTTACAACACAATCTGTGCCTCATTTACCCATTCATACAGCACTCTACTAGATCTATACAAAGAATAATCAGAGCTTTATCACATTCATACACCAATGGGACACACATCGGAGGCAACAAGGGGTTCAGTGTCTTGCCCAGGGACACTTTGGCATGTGACTGCTGGTGGATTCGAACCCCCAACTCTTGCATTGGAGGACGACTGCTCTAACCACTCAGCCACAGCCGCCCTCACGCCCTGCGTGGGTTTTGGATCTGATAAATGCACGCATCCCCGCAGGAGGGGTCAGCGGTACAAACAGCACGCAGCTAATATGTGTAATTGCATAAATGTATTATGATGTCATCAGTATGTTGCTGTTTCTGTGCTGAGGTCTTTTTTTTTTTTTTTCAGCTTTCACACTGTGTCCCGTCTAGAACACAGTGTGAGATACGATTTTTTTTTTTTTAATATCTCCCCCTCGTGTTTCTCTTTTCGTTATGTAAACGAAAAGGGCAGCGCCTCCTGAGGCCGCGGCCTCAGTCACCTCCATCTCCCCACGTCTGTTTGTATGCTTTTTCGGACGAGCTGTACTGAAATGTAATTTCGTTGTGCTTCGGTGCAGTGACAATGAAGCTGATTCTGATTCTGAATCTGATGTGTCAAAAAAAATTATGGACGAAATGAGCGCCCCGCCATGGCAACTTATCTAAGGGAAATACTTAAAGATCCTTAAAGACTTAGAAACACAAATGTATGCTTGGTTTGCATAGTTCCGCTAACATGCATAATATGTTATGCTAACATATAACATGTTAAGCTAACGTGTAATATATTGTCACAAGAGCCAGTTTACAGAATAAGTCCTAAAGGATTTTGGAAAGACTTGATTTAAAAGCTAACTGCTACAATAAGAAAAGGGTCTTCTAGATTATCTGTCATAAAGAAAATTTATTTTCCAATTCTCTATGTGGCCCTTTGAGAAAAAAATGTTGCCACCACTGGTTTTACAGATGAAATGTGCCACAGTATCTGTGATACCACAGTCCATATCTTTTACCTAAATTCCCTTGACAAAAACATAACTGTAACCTGGATAAAACTAGGTCTATAGACGAAGCTAAACCAGATCAGAAACCAAGTCTAAAACCAGTCTAAACAAGGCCTATAACCAGTCTTTAATTGGTCTAAACCAGAATAAAACCAGACCTCGCAACCGGAGCTTCAATCTGTCATCTGTGTAAGCCTGTTTTGAATTCTGGCCCTTGCCATTAGTAAACCAGATAAAATCTTCTCGTGTCCTCAGTGTGGCTTATTTTCAGTGAGTAGACAATGACAGGATATTTATTTTATCCAACAACTGAGCTAAACTTTTGTGTAGTAGTTGCTGAGAGTCAATCCCAGCACATTCTCTGAGGGCTAATTGATCGTAGGGATGCACGATATTGGATTTTTGGCCGATATGTTAAAACATATTTGGCTGATAACCGATACCGATATTTTTAATATACTTTCCTTTGTCAGAACATAGCCCTCTCTCTTATTTAGGCTTATTTGCTACAAAAACTGTGTAACAGCTGTAAGAGCTGGTGACATATATTCAGTAACAGCCATATGATATGCATAGCACTTAGTCACCTGTGATGCTGTCTCACTTGTGGAGGCTTGTTCCAGGTTCCGATAGCTGCAGTGTGGGATCCTCTGCACTCTCGTGCCTTTTTAAGTTCAAAGTTTTTGTCTATCCATTGTGCCGTAAGACTAATCACGCTAACGGGGCTAACACGACGTCCAAACGTCTGTGGTAAAACTCACCCAAGTGCTATCGGCTATTAGCCTCTCAATGACGTCGGAAATGACGGCTTGTAACTCGGGTAAGGCTACGGTGGAAAAATATCTCCAACTGGGGACGATGTAGCGAGGCTCAACGTAGTCCAAAAATCTTCGGAATCCGACATCCTCAACGAAAAAAAAACTTCCACACCTCCGACATGTTGAATTTTCCTCTCCTCCGTGAGATCAGGTAGGCGCGTGCCACGTCATCACGTTGTGCTGCCGCTGCAGGCAAAAACAGCACCGTTTATAACGAGGAGTTATTTTAATGGAAAGGCCGATGTCCGACATTTAACTTTAACGCCAATATTAGCCGATACCGACACCGTGCCGATAATATTGTACATCCCTAATCATGTAAAATATTTGGTTCACCATAGAAACACATTTTGAGTTGCGCAAAAATAAGTCTGAATCACAGTATCATTATAAGTATTCTTAATGTGATTGTTGTTCGTCTCTGTCTGTGCTGTGTCCGTTTCCTGCAGGTGGGGGAACACGCCGATGGACGAGGCGGTGCACTTCGGACACCACGAAGTGGTCACCATCCTCCGAGACTACCACAACAAGTACAGCCCCCAGGACAGCGCCGTCGGGAAGGAGAGCGCAGAGAAGAACCTGGACGGGATGCTGTGACGGAACCATTCGGTCCTGCTCGTTAATCCAACATTAATCTCTCCTGATCAGAGCTTTAACTTTCTGATCCAGACTAGCTGAAGCTCCACACCCCAGCATAAACCACGTGTTATTTTTGTCCCCGTGGACTGAATGGAGCTCACCGTTTCCGTCATTTTATTCTGAAAAGTTGAAACAGGAAGCAGCAGGTGTTGTAGAGTTTCCTCGTTTCAAACTTTTCTCAGTTCAGCTTTGCCAGTAGTTGGATGTCTGCGTGTGTGAGCGATGTTTTGTTGTTGTATACAAGATGTAGCGACGTGTGTTTGTGTCTGCCAGGAGGATCCGTCTAATTCCTGGTGTGACTCCGTCCAAGTGCTGTTCTGTATTTCTTCAGGTGAATTCAGCTTTGATCACAAAGTATGACGTTGTTTTACAGAAACTAAAATCAGTGTTTAACTTTAAAATCTGGACATCTAGTTGGTTTTTACTTTTATTCCTGTAAAACTAGACTTCGTTTATTTTCTCCGCTTGTTTTCCTCATTATTTATTTATTTATTTAAAGAAACCGATTAAAACCCGCCAAAGTTATGAGGGTTTGTACAAATCAGATGTGACACTGCCACACTAGACATGTTCCTGTTTGGACCGTTTTAGATTTACGAAGAATTAAAAGTGCACCAAACGGGAGGAAGCCTGTTCCAGATAGTAAACGGTGACGTGGAGTTTCAGGGTTTTTTGTGACAAAAGAGACTCGTCTGTTTTTGAAGCTTAAAGCTGCTGATCGTTGTGACACGTTTTTATTGTTAAGCGCTAAAGAAAACTGAGAATCTGATTTGAATCTACTTTTCACTCAACCTTTATTTATACAGGTTAATCCCATTCGGCCTCGGGGACTCGTTTACGAGGGACACCAGAAAACAGGTAATCTGATCCAGAATCAGTCGATGTTTCTCAGACAGGAAGCAGCTGAATCTGGGTGGATGTTGGTGTTAAGAACTTTTCCTTTTAGTACCTTTAATCTCATTTAATGTGAAGTTTGTGGACAGATGTCAACATCTGTCTGCAGAAAGATGAAAAACCTGAGCCACCGCAGGAAAACATATGAAATATTAAGAATACCGTATTTTCCAGCGTATATGTTGCACTTTGGCAACAAGATTTATTGTGAATCTTGTTAGTCTGAACTAAAAACAGAAACAATCGTGCTTTGTTTGAATGAATCTTTATTTTGAAAACTACTGGATGTCATTTGAATGCAAAAGGCAAAGATTTGTTTTTCTCAAACATTCCTGCAGATGTCAAACATCTGGAATCTTTTCTTCGTTTGGTGCACAAACGCGGTGTCTGTAACGCTGTAGAGACGTGTTGGATGTGTTGACGTGTGTGCGCGCGTGTCGGTTCGTTCTTCAGGAAGGCCGCTGACAAAGTTTTATGATTGTTTTTAAGCTTCAGCGCTGAAGAGTCGCTTACTCGACGAGCTGTACGAATTAGTTGTTTGTTTGTAAACAGTTGACGTGTTGTAAACAGTTCAGCTGAAATCCTGAGAAAGTCCTCGGGCTGGACAAGTAAAAGAAGCACAAAGCAGGAAGTGACGGTGGAATCATGTGACGGGTTTTCTGAATGTAACGTTTCTTCTTCATGTGTATTTATTCTGCCGCGTTGCAGGCAGACCAGATATTTATTCACCAAGAAAATGTTTAATAAATGTTAGAAGAAAAAAAAAAGACCAAACTGGATAGCTGTTATCTTTCGAACTGTAGACATTTGTTTATAAGAATAAGAAAAAAATTATCTTTTAATCTGTTCAAAACATTAAAGTTCATGCTCAATAATCCAGGTAAAAAAATCCAACAAAGTTCTCTGTACTTAATTTTTTTTTTTTAGACGTTTCGTCCATCATCCAAAGGACTTCATCAGTCCGAGGAGCCACAAGTTCAGTCCCACAAGCAGCCCACTCAGTGAGCCAACCAGTTTGCTGGTGATAAGATCTGGGGCCTGCCCTCTCCCTTGTCCACTCCTCTGAGGCAGCCATAGCCAAATTAGTTCAGGAAGGATAAATGGTTGGTCCACTATGCGAGTGTGCTGATGAAGTCCTTTGGATGAAGGACAAAACGTCTAAATAAAAAAATGTAAAGTCCAGATGGCCTGACTGAACTTTGTATTTTTTTTACCTAGATTATTGAGCATGAACTTTGATGTTTTGAACCACTTTGGCTATGGCTGCCTCAGAGTCGTCGATGGGGGAGAGGGTGGGCCTCAGAAACCATCTTAAGCACCAGCAAACTGGTTGGTTCACTAGGCGAGTGCTGCTCGTGGGACCGAGTTTGTTGTGGCTCCTCGGACTGACGAAATCCTTTGGATGAAGGATGAAACATCTAAACAAAAAAAAGAAACCGTCTAGATGAACTGACTGAACTTTGTTGGATCTTTAATCTGGTTTTTATGGTTTTTCATAACTTTTTAATGTTCGTTTGGGCTAAACTACAATTTAGCTTTGATTTTAAAGTTTTAACAATTATTTTAAATTAGAGCAGTTGAAGTATAAAAATATCCTCTAGTCATCTTACTCAAAGAGGCTACACTCGAGGACACGAGAAGATTTTTAACCGGTTTTACTTGCAAGGGCAGACTTTCACCACAGAGTATGCAGATGTATAAAAAGTTCAACATGCACGGAGCCGAGTCACAAGAACCTGCGCCTGTGAGAATAATTTTTTATACGTTTATCAGCTCTGCTCAGAGGCAGGCACTGATGGCCTCGGCCACACAGCTGCACATGCAGGATCAAATCAGACTGAGATGGTTTGTGTTTTGGAGGTCCGGCTGAAGGTTTGTTAGTGCGGATCAGTGAGAGTGAGTGGGACAGGTCCAGACCTCCAGAACTGAGACCATGATCACTGAAGGGAGGAAGCAGCAGGTTCTTGGCGGCCCCTTGTTTTTAAAATTGAACGATTTCTCCAAGAAAAGGAGATCGGGCAACAATCTAAATCTGAAGGAAACAGTGAATCAGAAGTTTGGATCAGTTATCCGCTGCTGACTTCATCCGGGTGGAGGATCCCTCTGTGTTCCTGAGACTCCCTGAAAAGAAACTTTGACTTTTATTTAGTCAGAAAAGTCATTTGAAATGGACAGGATATCAGTTTTCTTCAGTAAAGTTTTTATTTATCTCAGAAACATCAACTTGTTCTTAAATAGTTTCCTTAATCGAGACAGTTTAAGATGTTTTTGCTACATTTAATGAGCCTCAGGAGGACTTTAAAGCCTTAGAGGGAAAGGACGTCACATTTCAACCGTACAGTTTAAACAACAATAAATGTCATATTTCACATATTTAAAAAAAAAAAAAAAAAACATTTCTGTAAAGTGATGAAGGCTAAAAATAAAAGTCCCAGATTATTATTATTATTTTCTTTAAAATGTGGAGTTAAAACACACCAAACTCAGACGGAGCAAACATGGCGTCTCGTCTGCACAGGAAGTTCATGTTTTCAGAGTAATGGCGCCGCGACGCTCGGACTTCTTGCTTGATGATGAAAAAACAGCCGCAGAACACTTCGGGCACGTCTTCAGTTTCCATCTGGAAAGTCTGCACTCATCTGAGGACAGAACAACAATTTGTTTACTTATGGATGTTTATAAAGAAAAACAAAAAGACACTAAAAGCAAGGAGTAGAGGAATTTGAAGTTCTACAGCTAAAAAAAACTAAACTTTTAAACTAAATGAGACTCAAACATGCAGTTAAAGACAAAAGGAGTAATAAAATAAAACCTACAGTGAGGTATCTATCTGATAAACCAGGGTAAAACTAGGTCCAAAACCAGTATAAACCTGGTCTAAACCAGATCAGAAATCAATACAAAGACAGGTTGGAAGTAGGATAAAACTAGGTCCTAAACTAGTCTATTTCTGGTCTGACCTAGGTCAGAAACTCAGTCCAAGACCAGTCTAAACAAGGTTATAACCAGTCTTTAATTAGTCTAAACCAGCATAAAAACCAGGACAAGACATAGATGCAACCAAGATAAAACTAGGTCTATGAACTACTCTAAACCAGGTCAGAAACCAAATCCAAAACCAGTCTTTGTTTAGTCTAAACCAGAATAAAAACCAGGACAAGACATGGGTGTAACCAGGATAAAACTAGGTCTATAAACTAATCTAAACCAGGTCAGATACCAAGTCCAAAACCAGTTTTTGATTAGTCTAAACCAGAATAAAAACCAGGAAAAAACATGGGTGTAACCAGGATAAAACTAGATCTATAAACTAATCTAAACCAGGTCAGAAACCTAATCCAAAACCAGTCTAAACAAGGTATATAACCAGTCTATAATTAGTCTAAACCAGAATAAAAACCAGGACAAGACATGGGTGTAACCATGATAAAACTAGGTCTATAAATTAATCTAAACCAGGTCAGAAACCAAATCCAAACTCAAACTGGAAACCAGAACAAAGTTAATAAGCAGTCTAAATTAGGTCCATTGGGAGGGTGTACAGGTGGAACTTTTATTATGAAGGTACAACTCTATGTTCAGATGCTGGCTTAAAATAAATAAATAAAAACACAACATGCCAGCCTCCCAAAAAGCCAAACATTTTGGCATTTTTGTCTGGAGAAGGTGGAGAAGACCCTTTGTCTAGCTTTATCAACGCAGATGGTCTAATCCAGCGTCAAGCTAAGTTACTACTAAATGATGGAAGTCCGAAGTTAATGCAAAAAACAAAACCTGTTCAGCTCTGGTTTTCATGCCACAGTTAGTCTGAAATCATCTGAAGAGAGGGGGAGAGCAGTTTGTTGGTCTTCTGCTCAACATTTCTACTGAGCGGTGTTTAATTATTGAACTAAATCAAAGCATTTAACTAAAAATAAGGCAGAGGTGCGTTAGGATCTGGTGTAAGTGGAGCTGGTTCATGCAGTGCAGGATTCCTGGAGTTACGCATGCCTCGCACAACAACGCGACACATCTACCTGAGAATCAAAATCTCCAAAGCCCAGCAGATTGTTGGTCTGAAAGCAGAGCAGGAACACACAGAAACACACACACGCACACGTTTAAAACTGGACAGAGAGAAACCAGAGTGCTGCACAGACGACTAATATTTATTACAAGGAGCTACATTTTATCTTTAGCGGTCAAACTCGAGCTGCTTGTTCTCGAATGGCTTTCATCTTATTTTTGCACAATAACCTGAATTTGTACGTTTTTGTGTGTTTATCCTGTTTATTCATTCATATAAATGGACACATTTAACCCAGGGCTTAATTTGGGCCAGATCCTGCCAGAAAGGACCCGGGAACTCTTTTGTTTTGACAGGGTGTATTCAAGTAACTGTTTACTTGGATCCGGTAACTCTTAGGCTTACTGATAATAAAGTTATGAACAAATATGACTGCCTTGAACGAATAAAACTTATATTGGATATGTAAACTGAAAATAATTACATAAACACTCATTTTAAACACAACAGCCACTTATGAACTTCTTAATATCGCATAGGAGCTGCCCCTTCGAGTAAGCGTTTCCCCTTCTACCCTTAAAAAAATCTCCGCCCCTAAAAGAGTGGTGGGGGTGAGTAACCAGACAGTTGTACGCAGGAGCTCACAGGCAGCCGCCATGAACAGACGGAGGAGGCACCTGAAGTTTTCACATGTGGAGTGGGACAATAAGGAGCAGCACAGTGAATTCAGCCGAGAAGAGTCGTCTTGGAATCGTCAAGTAAGAAGGGGGGGGTGGGGGGGGTAGGATGCTTGACAGAAGCGAAGTGCTTCCAAATGTAGGTAAACGTAGATGTTTAACAACCCGTTAAAAATGCACCAAAATGCAGGAAATGTCTGTTCTTGCACTTTGTGAAATACACTTCTAAATTAATGCGATTTATACTCCGAAGCGATTTATATATTGTTTTTTCCTGTCTAAATAAAGGTTGAATGAATGAATGAGGCATTTTTGGACTAATGCGACCTATACTCTGGATTGACTTAATAGTCCGGAAAATATAGTACTCTATTCAAAAATTTCTGAAGGAGGACCCCCAGACTAGAGTTGCATTCGGGCCCAAAAAATCCGACCCGGCCCCAGCCATCATTTCTGAACCCCATCCCACCCAACAAACTAACAGTAATTACAGGTCCAAACTCGAAAAAAAAATCCTGACATTTTTAATTAAGCTTTAACTGCTTATATAGTTATTAACGATTGGCAGATGCGCACGGCTGAGTAAAGGGGGCAGAAGATCGGAGCAGAAGGGATGTTTGTCCTTTCACGGTCGTCAAAGCTCATTAAATCCCTGCTTCTGCCATGGACCCTGCTCTGACATGTCGGATATTTGGGATCTCACTTGTTTGGGTTGTCGGCAGCGCGCATTTGTTGAGCGCAGCGGCTGAATGAACGTCCATTTGGGCCTTGGATGGATCGCTGCCTGGCAGTAAAGTCCCATCTGAAGGTTAACTGAACTGTTTTTTAAACCTCTTTCCAGGCCGGTCAGCGCACGGTCAAATGGCCGCGTGCGGCTGGTGATTGTATGGCAAGCCATGTTGCCATATAATTGGATCGTCGGCCGCTCGTGTCCGCTGACGCAACGAAAAGCCCGACACCAGCCGGCTCACACATTAAGCACACTATTAAGGCCCGGTCCAGCCCGGGCTCGGGTTAGAAATGACAGCTCTACCCCAGACCCGCCCGCTATTTGCGTGCCAGCATCGCTCGGTTTACAAATTAAGCCTTCCACTTAACTCTAAAACTTGTACTGATGAATGAAAATGTGCAGGTTTATTCAAAAAGGTTCTGCAGTGCTTTTGTTTTACTTCCTGTTCAAGGTTTCCCCTACCATTATTCAAACAGAGTGCCCTACCCCCACGACGAGCATCCCGCCAAGTGAACGGATCTAGGGGAGTTTCTATTCAGTCTTACCGATGCTTATTCCTCCTGCCTGCCCTTTTATCCTTCAAGTTATTGTTTTAAGACTTGTCTATAATTTTATTTTAGTCATGTATTTTTATTCCTCACACCTGCTGCTTTCATCAAACATGACTGTGTTTTATTGCTGTCCTTAAGTTATGTTGTACAAATAACATTTATCTGGATTATTACTGATTTGATCAAGTTCTCGTTGGGGGGTGCGTCTAAACTTGAGTTTTGATATACTTTTTTTGATTATTTTCCATTATGCGTTCTGCCCCTGAAAAAGTCGTGAACTACACGAATGTGACTTTCAGTGGAAAACTGCAGGTTTGTTAACGTTCTGAGGTTTATTCATGTTTGAGGGAGTAGCTCACCACAGCATCAATGTCTCGAGGGTTGACAAACTGCTCCAAAGCCCTATAGTCATCAGGAGACATGGGCATCATGTTGTCCTGCATTCTGGACGGATGTCTGGACCAGAACAGCCTCATTAAGTCTGTGATTGTCCAAATTTTTAATGCGACTGAGTTTGTTTGGTGGAAACTTACACTTCTGAGACAGATATCAGTTCTGTCTTCATGTAGCCGCTCTTCTCCGTGTTCTCCACGTCCATCGGTTCTTGAGCTAAAAGTGATTGAAACTTCGATCAGCGTCTACCCAGGTTTTATGTAAACCGCCTAAATAAAGCTCATCTGTGAGTCTTACTCTCTGAGGGTTTGGGGTAGTATTTCCCGAAGGCCTTGTCTTTGGGGATGTTGGGGTAAAGGAAGCGCAGCGGGTTTTCTGGGATGTTTTCAGCTGCCATCACCTTGTAGGTGCGGATGATGTCCGGCAGAGACACGGCAGTCAGCTCCTTCTTCGTGTATGGCTCCACGGAGTGAAAAACAGGCTTGTCTGGGTGGGAGGGGAAAAAAAAAAATACATAAGACGTGATATTTCTGCTTCACGGAACAGGAAAGACAGGAAGGCTGCTGGCTTTGGGATCATTGTTCTGTTGCAACATGGCCCAGTTTGGTCCAGGATTCATCTGTTGGGACAGTTTCACAAATGTCAAACTCAAGAATCGTGGGCCAAATCTGGTCTTCCAAGATGATAATTTAAATGTAAAGTATTGTCTCTCTTCTATTTTTTTATCATTAAAAAAAAAGATAAATACTTCATTTAGTATAGACTTCTCTTGCTAGCTGGCTAACTTTGTAGCCAGAAAGACGGTTGGATCGTTCTATCATTATTGATTCTGATGTGAAGACGGTTGGATCATTTTATCATTATTGATTCTGATGTGAAGACAGTTGGATAATTTTATCATTATTGATTCTGATGTGAAGACGGTTGGATCATTTTATCATTATTGATTCAGATGTTAAGACGTTTGGATCGTTCTATCATTATTGATTCTGATGTGGAAAGAGCAACAGATCATCAAGTGAGACAGATCAAACTTTTGTTCATGAACCTGCAACCAAGAAAAGATATCAGGTATTTGACTCGAGTTAATGTATCAGCTGAAAGTGGCCCATGGCTCGGAAAAAGTTTTTAAATTTTGGCTCCTATTGGTAACCGAGTTCGACACCTCTAGAGGAGCTCATAATCGATTCATTAACTGCAAGGAGCCCAAACCATCAGCCCTCCACCACCGTGCTGACAGCTGGTATGCTGCCCTTGCTGCTGTGAATTATGCGTAAATATCTGTCTGTTTTGTCCCAGAAGTTGTGTCGTTGCAAGTCTTGTGAGTGAAATAAAACATTTGTTAGTGCTGATCCCATTTTAGGCAGTAAAAGTATCTGTCAATCATTTCAAACTGATCTTTTCGTTTCAGTTAAATATTTCGTTTTACCGTGGACGTCGTGCTCGATCCAGGTAAAGGTGATGGCTCCCTCCCTGCTGCTTTCACTGAACCTGAGCAGGAACGTCCCGGGACACTTGTCGCTCAGCAGAGCCTTCTCCCTCTCCTTACTGAGGAATCCCATGATGCAACTGCACATTTTATTCGAACAAAGGCGGTCAGTTTGAATCTGTCCTCCCGGGAATGTCGCGGCGGCGTCAGAACGACTCTCACCCGTCGTTCCACAGAGACAGCAGGTGCCGTTTAATCAGGTCCAGGATTCCTTCGATCCACAGCCAGAAAGGGAACGATTTCTCGTTGGCGCTCTGCTGCCGGGAAAAACCTAAACTTATACTTTTGTACGAACAAACTCCACGTGAAAACAAACCACTGAGGCTCACCTTACAGAACTTTGTCCAGGGGATTAGTCCTTCTGGGTTCCTCTGAGCTTTGGCTCCTATACAGACATAAAACCTCAGTTTATTAAACAAGTTCATCACTAATACAGTAAAACTGCCGTAGGGCATCCTTCATACCTCAATATCTCCCCCCCATAAAACATAAAGATTCAGACTTGTTTGTAATATTTAAAGTAGTCTTGATCAACAAGGTCTTTCAGAATTTTTCTTTGGACTAAGGACTAAAACTGGGAGAAAAACAGAAGATTTTACCGCCAATAAAAAGCTGTTAGCTAAAAACTTGACTTCAGCTGAATGCCCCTGCCCCTCTCAGATTCTGTTACTTAAAAACATGATCTGCTTTGGATACTTAATTATTTAAACCTGACACTTTTGTCAGAGAGAAGAGCTGAAACTGAGTAAAGAGACAGCTTTAAAAACCTTGGAAAAACCTTCAGAAGGTCTGAAGAACTGATCGAGTTTACTTTAAACGATTGCAGAAAATTCTGGCTGCTTGGAACAAAGAATAAAGGGACATAAATGACTTATACTAATTCAAATCAAGACGTTGAGACATTTTAGGAGTACAGTAGTCCCTCGCTACTTCGCGGTTCGACTTTCACGAACTCGCTCTTTCGTCGTTTTTCAAAGTAAGATTTTACACACACACAAAAAAATATTAACTTTAATATGACATGTGATTGGGACAGTACAGGACACTGCAGTACAAAGTTAACAAAAAAAATAAAATACTTTGGACAAGTGCCACCATTTTTGTAGTTTTCTCTCAATAAGCCTACACTGTATCCCCGCTCATAATGACTACATTTCCCAGAAGCCAACAGTGCCCCGCCCATTAGTCCCGTTGCCTTCTGCTGAAATACGTAGAGGGAAAGTTTTGATCTGATCAGAAAAAGTTTAGTTCTTTACAGTGACTTCGGCGCCCAGCGGATGGACAGAGCTGCACGGAACCCACTGGGAATCCACTGGGAATCGGACCTCCAGACCTACTGGCGAATCCGAGAGTTGCTAGCTGGCCCACGAGGACTTCCGAGCAGGGACGTGCCGCTTTAGGTCTGGCCTCTCTCCAGAGCCCACCAAGACTTTTGTCATCTATCTATTGGACCACTCAATCGGACCACTGGTCCAACCAAAGGTCCCCCCGCCCCACAATGCACTTTGGTGCTCAAGGGCTGCGCAGAACTGGAACCCCAGACTCATCGGTGAACCCGAGAGCTGCTAGCCAGCCCACGAGGACCCCTGAGCGGGGACGCGCCGCTTGTAGGTCCGGCGCTCCCTCCAGAGCCCACTACCACGAGCCAGAGAGCTATCTAGAACCAGCAGGGTAGGTCTGCCGGAACAGACCCAAGTCAGAGCGGAACCGAGCCACTGCTGTTCTGCAGAACTGGTGAGTAAAATGTAGTAGCTACATATAAAGTATGTTGTTAAAATTTGTAGGTTTAAGAGTTTAGGACATTGCAAGAGTGTGAGAAGGGTTTATAAAACCTTAATATATATCCATCCATCCATTTTCTTCTGCTTATCCGGGGTCGGGTCGTGGGGGTAGCAGCCTAAGTAGGGAGGCCCAGACTTCCCTCTCCCCAGCCACTATATTAAAATATATATAAATACTAAAATAAACATAACATCGCTACTTGGCAGATTTTTGGAAAGTAACCCCTGCAATAAACGAGGGACTACTGTACATGAAGCGTTTTAAGGATGTGCAGGCTGATCCTGGATCTGTGTGCGTTCTGTTTCTGACCCAGCAGTTTGTCAGCCAGCATGTTGAGCTGCTCCTGGTTCAGGCCTCGCTTGGTGACGGACGAGAACTGCCAGCTGAGGACCTCGGACAGCTGAGACCACTTTGCCGCCGGAGGGGTGAGAAAGAACTTCAGGTTCTGGAGATCAGAGAGGTTTGTCAGCTGCAGATCGGAGGAGAACAAAGGTTCTGATAGTGGAGGGAAAAACAGGAGGAATCCTCACTCTGGGCTCTGTGGTGAGCATGTTGTACCAGAGGATGGAGGCCCAGCCGCTGGGCAGCTGACACACATTAGAGATGACCACAACCGGCAGAGACAAGGCCTGGAACACACAAAACCACTCGTTACTCCAGCACACCGGACTTTAATCTGCAGGTAAAGTTCTGGGTCTCACCTCCAGTTTAATGTTGAGTCCGGACTGGTTGAGCTGCAGGTCGGACTCAAAGCTGAGAGAGTGGAGCTCCTCAGTGACGATAAGAGGAGCCTAAAAAAAAAGACACAAAACTGCAATAATCATCACTGGAAACCAGTGAAAGGTTTGAAAGGAGAAAATACAAAGTGCGTGAACAACGGTGAAGACGAAACGATTTGTGTCGGAGCTTCTGCAGGTTGACAGATATTTAAAATTTAGTTTAAAACGTTTTAAAGACTCACCTCATTTGTTCTGTTTCCAACGCTTTTCTGCTCTTTCAGTTGCTGTATGAAGAGAAATAATAAGTTCAACACCTTTTTTTTTAACATTAAATTTTGATTAAATATATGTGCAATCTCTATTTGCAGAAAAACTCAAGTTTGATTTGTTGAAACTTTTGATTTAACAGAACTATGATGGTCTTTGCTGTCGGTGGTGACAAACGTGGACGTTTATGCTAAAAACAATCCAAAACACTTGCTAGATATGTTAAACATTTTATGGTCAATTTTTTTTTTTTTTACGACGCGTTTTAAAAAACCGTTAAAATCGCCAGTAAAGTAGACGGTGAAGAGCTTAAACATATGAAGCTGGCATCATGGAAGGATCACAGGCGTGGAGTTATATTTAAAATATTTCTCTGTTTAAAACCAGCGGCTGACAGGACTATCATCTCTACATGATGCCCTCAAGCTTCGATCCTGGCACACCCTTCCACATATTAACCGTTACTGCTGTAACTACCTCCCTAAGCAGCTCAGAGGCATAACAACAGCAGGTTGACATCAACCTCTTATTCTCCCTTCGATCATATAAATCTTGTGTTATGAGATCTTGCGGAACTGAAACACCGAATGATTTTCTGAACCCGAAGATGTCTCCACACTTTAAATCATTTTGTAGGGTTTGCGTTTTCCTGGTCTCTGGCTCCATCTTGTGTCGTGTTTATGTCTTGCATAACCTAAATGTCTGAAAAACAGTCTGATAATAATTTGCTTTTCTTGTCTGTAAAATACTTTGTTTTCAGCAACGTTAACACAATAATGTCTATAATAGTAACAATAATCAAATAAAAACCTCACCAAATGTCTGAACTCTGTTGCCAGGCTGCCGTTGGACTCCTCCATGTTCATCACTTTGGTGTTTGTTCCTAAAATGTTGAACTTCCGAAACCTGATGTCAGAAGCAGCAGTCAGGAGTCGCCATTTCTTTTATTCATCTCTGAAGTTTCATCAGTGAAACTCTCTGATACAGTCAAACTTACACACCGTTCATGCAAAAAGAAAGTCTAAATGTTTGAGACATACCCTTTTTTCTCTGTCACATCCCTGAAGAGAAGAAGAATTGGTGTCAGCGGCTCAGAAATATGAACATTTGAAGATGTTAAACATCTGAAATAAACTCATCTTACTTATCAAAGAAAGCTTTGACTTTGAGTTGGTAGTTAAACTCCTGAAGTTTTACCAGAAACCTGAAAAAGAAACAGGATATGTGACCGAAACAGGAAACAAGTGCTGATCTTTCACTTTAACCGGTTCAAAGTCAGCAGGTGAGTCAGCGTCAGGCTTCAGCAGCAGCTAACGTTAAATCCAGGATTAATGTTAACAATTTATAGAAAACAAACGTCCCAAATGACAACACTGTGTGACAAAAACCAATCAGGAGTAAAAATTAGGCACAAAAACATAAAAGCATCAAAGAAACATTTCTTTTAGTTCTTTGGTTTGAAGTAATTACAGTAATCCCTCGCTACTTCGCAATTTTACTTTCATGGACTCATTCTATCGCGGTTTTTCAAAGTAAGATTGAATACGAGAAAAATAAAAATGTACAGGACGCACAATTATCAACTTTAATAATACTCACGTGATTGGTACAGTACTGGATACAGTACAGTAAAAAGTTAACGAAAAAATAAAATACTTCGGACAGGCGCCGTCATTTTGTAGTTTTCTCTCAGTAAGCTTCCACTGTATCCCTGCTCATAACAACTACATTTCCCAGAAGCCAACAGTGCCCCAACCCAGAAGCCATGTTTCCTTCTGCTGAAATACAAGAGGGAAAGTTTTGATCGGATCAGAAAAATTTGGCGATTATTACAGTGACTTCGGTGCCCAGCGGATGCAGAGAGCTGCACAGAACCCACCAAACCGGAACAGAACTGGACCTCCAGGCCCACGAGAACTTCCGAGCAGGAAGTGCGCCGCCAAAGGTCCGGTGCTCCATATGGAGCCCACTGGGACTTTTTCCATCCTTTCAACTGGCCCATGAGGACCTCCGAGCTGGACATGCTGGTAAGTAAAATTTAGTAGCTACATATAAGTATGTTTAGGCCTGTCGCGATAAACAATAAATCAATTAATCGCATGGTATATTAAAATTATCTACCTCATTTTCATTTATTGGCTTTATCGTTTCTTTCTGTCTCTCTCTTTCTACTGAAGACGCTGGGTGACAAAAAAAGGCTCAACTTCAGTGCCCTTCCCTTTCTTTTTTCCTCTTTTCTTTACAATCCGTTTTAACAATCCAAAATAGCGTTTTTGGATCGTTAAAAACAGCTAAGCTACAAGCTAAGCTAACAGGCCGACCTCGGGGAAAAAACCTCTGTCTTGTCGAAGCTCAAACATTCACAGTTGAAACCCGTGCCTTCGTCTAAAATTTTGTTTTTCTCTGCAAAAAGAAGCTGAGAACTTGTTTATTGATATTTTATTTAAAGCTTTGTGTGAAAAATGCTATGCTAAAGAGCTCAAACCACACCGAGTGTCTGACATTTTTCTTAGAGACACGCTGCTCGCTCCCTCACTATCCATCCTTCGGTTTAAACGGTGTTATACTACCATCCAGTGGTCAAATAAAGGTACTACACACAACATCAACTAACATTTATTCTCAAGTTTGACAATAAGTACTAATTATTGTCAAATTTCAAACAATATTATCGTTTATCGCAATAATTTCTGAGACAACCGCCCAGCAAAATTTGTTATCGTGACAGGCCTAAGTGTGATGTTAAAATTAGTAGGTTTAAAAAGGTTTTTAAAATTAGTAGGAACCTAACACTCGCTATAAACGAGGGACACGAAAAGCTGGATTTGATACAGAATTACCATTCTCCTGTTGTTGTGTTCTCTTTTAGCTCAGGTCTGTAGTAAGTTGTGGGTTTGTAGTTTCATATTTTGCTTCTTACCGAAGTTTCACAGTGAACTGGACGCCAGTCTTCAGCACCAGAGGTCTTTGTGGATGGGTGGGCATGCAGGGCTGCCTCTCTACAACTAACGAGCTGCAAACACACAGGAGATCCTTGTGACTGAAAGCCGGCAACAGGACTATCGGTAAGTCAGGTGTTGGCGGCGTCATACTTGGACAGGAGGTTCTTGAGGAGCTCCAGAGCTCGGTTCTCCAGGTACGCTTTCTTCTGAGGGATGGGGTCGCTCTCGTACGTGAACTTCTGCTCCAGCTCCTGCATCTTCTTCAGATGTTGACGCGCCTGCTGGAGACTTTCTGCCACGGCTGTGAACCTGCAGGAGGAGGTGATGATGATGGAGAGATAAGTTAAAGAGCAAAAATCCTTGACTTTTCTTAACACCGTCACTTTCCCAGCATCATCACTTCATTCATTTGTAGGGCTAAATATTTTGTGTTTGGTCATTCAGGCTCCCATAGAAACTCTTCTTCTCTGTATAACGCTGCAACTCTAACACTCCAACCTCCATATTTTTTTCTTCTCTAAAGGCCCCATTCACTTCCATTCATTCAACCTTATTTATACAGACTATCCTCATTGAGCCACGGGGACTCATTTACAAGAGGGACCTTGTAGTGACCTTCCAGTTTTACAGAGAAAACTCCCATGTTCAGAAACAAAGAGAGTCCATGAGAGTTTGGGTGTGTGCACGCTGTACTCCGATGGGAGTTGAGAGAAAATTAAAAGTCCTAAAGCAGTGAGACAAAAATAAGTGAAAAGACAGAATAACCTATGTTTTGATGCATAAACAGTAAATTTATCCCAAAAACAAGTCACCAAACTTAAACTGGGATTATCTTAAAACCATAGATCAGTTGTACAAACCGGATTCCAAAAAAGTTGGGACACTAAACAAATTGTGAATAAAAACTGAATGCAATGATGTGGAGGTGCCAACATCTAATATTTTATTCAGAATAGAACACAAATCACAGATCAAAAGTTTAAACTGAGAGAATGTATCATTTTAAGGGAAAAATCTGTTTCCAAATTTCATGGCGTCAACAAATCCCAAAAAAGTTGGGACAAGTCCATTTTTACCACTGTGTGGCATCCCCCCTTCTTCTTCCAACACTCAACAGACGTCTGGGGACAGAGACCAGTTTCTCAAGTTTAGAAATAGGAATGCTCTCCCATTCATGTCTAATACAGGCCTCTAACTGTTCAATCGTCTTGGGCCTTCTTTGTCGCACCTTCCTCTTTATGATGCACCAAATGTTCTCTATAGGTGAAAGATCTGGACTGCAGGCTGGCCATTTCAGTACCCGGATCCTTCTCCTACGTAGCCATGATGTTGTGATTGCTGCAGAATGTGGTCTGGCATTATCGTGTTGAAAAATGCAGGGTCTTCCCTGAAAGAGATGACGTCTAGACGGGAGCATATGTTGTTCTAGAACCTGAACATAGTTCTCTGCGTTAATGGTGCCTTTCCAGACATGCAAGCTGCCCATGACACAAGCGCTCATGCAACCCCATACCATCAGTGATGCAGGCTTCTGAACGGAGCGTTGATAACAACTTGGGCTATCCTTGTCCTCTCTGGTCCGGATGACATGGCGTCCCAGTGTTCCATAAAGAACTTCAAATAGTGACTCATCTGACCACAGAACAGTCTTCCATTTTGCCACACTCCATTTTAAATGACCCCTGGCCCAGTGCAAACATCTGAGCTTGAGGAGCTTGCTTAGAAATGGCTTCCTCTTTGCACTGTAGAGTTTCAGCTGGCAACGGCAGATGGCACAGTGGATTGTGTTCACTGACAATGCTTTCTGGAAGTATTCCTGAGCCCATTCTGTTATTTCCTTGACAGTGGCATTCCTGTTTGAGGTGCAGTGACGTTTAAGGGCCCGGAGATCACGAGCATCTAGTAGAGTTTTATGGTCTTAACCTTTACGCACAGCCATTGTTCCAGATTCTCTGAATCTTTTGTTGATGTTATGCATGGTTGATGATGATAACTTAAAAGTCTTTGCTATTTTACGCTGGGTAACACCATTCTGGTATTGCTGCACTATCTTTCTGCGCAACAATGGTGGGATTGGTGATCCTCTTACCATCTTGGCTTCTGAGAGACACTGACACTCTGAGAAGCTCTTTTTATACCCAATCATGTTGTCAATTGACCTAATTAGTGTTAATTGGTCTTCCAGCTGTTCGTTATATGCTCAATTTCCTTTTTCTAGCCACTTATTGCTACTTGTCCCAACTTTTTTGGGATTTGTTGACACTGTGAAATTTTGAGTCAACATATTTTTCCTTTAAAATGTTACATTTACTCAGATTAAACTTTTTATCTGTCATCTAAGTTATATTACGAATAAAATATTGACATTTGCCATCTCCACATCATTGCATTCAGTTTTTATTCACAATTTGTTTAGTGTCCCAACTTCTTAGGAATGCTGTTTGTATCAAATCCAGCTTTTCGTGTCCTGTTTAAATTTAAAATGATGTTTCTGCTGTGAGGTCTGAGCTGTAGCACTCCAAACAGCTTTTACCACTCGGTCCAACTAAATAAATAACTAAGTAAATGGAAAGTTTTTGCAGATTTTTGTCATTTTTGTCTACGTGTGTGTAACTGGAACTCAAAACCGGAGCGCATGACTCCTGATTAAGTTGCACAATTAGATTTTTGTTTGGATTGTACCAGTGTTGCAGGAACTCAAAAATAATTTCTTTAAAAAGTGCCAATGCATTAAGTTTAATTTGTCTTTTTCAAACTGATGTCAAATACATTTTTATGGTAAATCTTAATAAATGTATTTCTATGACAGGCTACAACTAACACTAGTATGATAAAAGCATAGGTGTCGCATTAATTATATGAGAAGAAGACATGAGTTCCCCACACATTAAAAAAAATATTCATTTGGACTCCCCACCCCACACATTTACCATGAAATATTAGTTCACCCAGCGCTGTTTTTATTACTATGTGAACAAACCCATTCCACTTGATTAATAGGAAAATACTGTAATTCTCAAGTTACAAAACACTCCTATCTGTAAGCCATGCACACTAAATTTAAGATTAAACATAATTTTGTACAAACAAAAGACACAACAGTTTTAAAGCCATGGGTATCCACTGTTAATAGGATCTGTGCCCAGATCCTGACATTATGTGCAGCTCTTGTAGTACAAGACTCAGCCACCAGATGGCGTTTCATAGACTGTGGCTTGTGGCACAGTGCTGCTAACTCAGTCCTCACGTTGTAGCTGGCTGCAAACTATGAAATGGATTTCCTGAATGTGAGGCGGGGCTTATTACTCTGGGTTCATGAGACACGCCGCCGTTCAGGAAATCCACTCCATAGTTTGAAGCCAACATGCATCATGGATTGGAAATATCGGCAGGAGGATCGGAAAATCAGATATGTAAATTATGCTGGTATCGGAGGCCGATACCGATACTGGATCAGATCGGCCCCATCCCTATCTACTTTATTCAAAATTTTCTGGGGGAAGGCCCCCAGACCGCCCCCACAACACACATACACACACACACTCACCAGTATGTCCCCCCACATTGCAAATGCTTCTGACACTAATGGATAAACATAACTTCGGTCTCTGTTTGGAGAATTTTACAGTTTAGTTCCACAATTTGGTACAATTCTGCCCCCTGCTGATATAAACTGGTCACTGCAGTCTAAGACATTGAGATGTTATGGTACCTGTAATTCCAGTTAAATGTAATCTGAAAACTACTGCTTTATCAAACTTTAAACATTTTTCTGAAAATTTAACTCATAATATGTTTTTTTTTAATATATATATATGTAGGAGTGGTTAATCGTGCACTGCATTTTTATTGTTTCTAGAGATATATTTTATTTTAGGTCCCAGTTTTCTTAGTAATTTGACAGAATAAAATGTACTGATCTTGTATTAGATGAGCGTCTCACCAGTTCTGCAGCTGGTCCACGCAGGCGTTGGGCGGACCACCGATACACGCAATCTGCTGCCGCTGCTTCCACTCCGGCAGCTCCTCGGAGATCAGGTCTGATATTAACGCCTGAGTGACGTTCAGGAGATCGGTCAGGTAGTTTACTACGCCCTGGCACACAGACAAGGTGGCATGAGGTTTAATTTTTTTTATGTGAACAGCTAAGCTCAACACCATCCATGCCTTCTTGTAATGTTCAATATTCTCACATGACGTTTGGCTTTCAGCTCCAAACACATTCTGTTAATAGCCATCTTCTCCATCTCCAGCTCCTTCACTGACAAGCCGTTCACATCATTCTCTGCAGACGACAAATCAAACCCAAAATCAACCGCAAAACACAAACTAACTTTATTTGTTTAATTTTTCTTACTTCTGATCAGCGACCCCTCGTTGCTCTCTTACCTCTGTTCTTCAGCGTGTTGAGTTTGAAGTCGTACTCGTCCTGCAGGTCCTCCAAGCTCTTCAGGTTCTGATCCATAAACTGACAGAGAAACAAACTTCATCTTTAGCTAGAGAAATTACATTTCCTGTGAAAATGCAGTGTGAATGCTTATTGCTGAAAAATAGCTGAAATTAGCTAAAAACATGCTGAAATGTAGCTGAAATGGAATAACAAGCCTAAATTAGCAGAATAAAGCAGAAAGAGTGCATGTTTGCTGAATTTGGTTTAAATAAGCAGAAATTAGCGCAAAAATTGGGAAATTAACTAAAAAAATGAAATTAGCACAAAAAAATTAACTGAAAAGTATCTGAAAAAAGCAGAAAGAAGCTTAACTACCAAAAAAAAGTGGAAGGAGCTGAAATGAGCTAAAAAACAACAACATGGAATTAACTGAAAAAGCTAAGTTTAGCACAAAAAAGCTAAAAAAAAAAAAAGTGTCTGAAATAGAAGAAAAAGCTGAAACTAGCATAATTAAGCTGAGAGGAACATAACAAGCTGAAATTAAAATAAAGAAGCTAATTTGGCTGAAAGTAGCAGAAATTACCACAAAAACTGAATTTATCTGAAAACAGCTGAAATGAGTTAAAAATGCTAAAAAAAAATTAAATACATAAATAAAAAAGGTAGCTGGAAATGTAGAACTAGCAAAAATTAGCAGAAGACAGCAGAAAGAACATGTTTGTCCAATTAGGCTGAAAGAAGCAGAAATGATCACAAAAAAGTGGAAATTATCTGAAAAAAGTTGAAATGAGCAAAAACAAAACAGCTGAAAAGTAGCTAAAAAGGCAGAAAGAAGGTGAAAATACAAGAAGGAAGTGGAGAGAGCACATTTTTTGCTGAATTAGGCTGAAAAACTTGAAATGAGTTTTAAAAAAATGTGTAAGTAGATGAAAAAATTAAGTTAGCATGTAGCTGAAATAGTAGAAAACGCTGAAACTCGCAGAAATAAGCTAAAAGCTGGAATTAGCAGAAATAAGTTAGAAGAAGCACAAAAATGTTGTAGTTAGCGGAAAGACTCTGAAAAGAGCACATAACAGATTAAATAGCTGAAATTAGCTGAAAAAATGTTTAAATTTGCACAAGGAGGCTGAAAGAAGCTGAACCAGAACAAAATGTGAAAGGAGCAGTAAAAGGTTGTGAACACATCTAAAGATGTGAAGGAGGTAAAATGAGCTCAATTCATTTTCTATGAGGAAACAAAGTAACAGAAAAGGCTAAATATTTCATAAAGCTAAAGTTGCACCAATACCAAAAATTATAGCAGAATTGTCCTGAAAGAGCTGAACGTTTTCTTATGATTTGTTAAAATCACTTGAAAATTGCAGGATGAGAATCATGTCAAGAAAGGTACGGAAGAAAAATAGATCACGATGGTGTGGACGCTTCATAAACGGACACAATAAGAGTGCAGGGTAGGACCTGAAGTCTCAGCTGTTTGTTTCACCTGAACTCTTTCTTTCATTTCCTTCACTTTGTTGTCGAGCTTCTGCTTCTCCACCACCATCGCCGACACCGTGCCCTCACTTTCCCCCTGTAGAGACGAGCATTGGTTTATTTAGCTTGAAGATTAGAACGACCCGTTATTGAATCCAAAGAAACATCTGCTGAAAAGCATTTGACCTCAGCATCCTTTGCACCGGCCAAGATCTTCTGCTCCTCCTTCAGGTTCCTGGCTATGATCATGGCCATGTGGACGGGGTCCTCCTGAAACCGATCCTGAGGAGACAATGGCTCTGCGTTTAGACCCCAAACTTAGAGCTTTTAACCCGCTGGCTCAGTCCGGGGTCTGACCTGCAGGTTCCTCTTGATCTTACGGAAGTTGTGCTGCTGCAGGAAGTTGTTGTCCAGGGTGAAGCGGCTGTGTTGGTCGTCCAGCTGAACCAGCAGTTCATGAAACCGGACGGTGGCCAAAGAGTCCTGCGCCGCCGTCACATCCCTGAGCAGGTTCAAAGAAAGAACTGAACTTACAGGGTTTCAATTACTTACTAAATGTTTACAGTTCAAAATAATAAATGAGCTTCCTGCAGCCAAACATTGTAATCTGCAACATTCGGCTACAAACACCAGCTAAAATGCCCATCCATCCATTTTCTTCCACTTATTCGGGGTTGGGTCACGGGGGGTAGCAGCTTAAGTAGGGAGGCCCAGACTTCCCTCTCCCCACCCACTTGGGCCAGCTCCTCTGGGGGTATCCCGAGGCGTTCCCAGGCCAGCCGAGAAACATAGTCCCTCCAGCGTGTCCTGGGTCTTCCTCTGGGTCTCCTCCCGGTGGGACGTGTCCGGAACACCTCACCAGGGAGGCGTCCACGAGGCATCCTAACCATAGATGAGGGTAGCTAAAATGAAGTTTTGAAATTACCGGTACTAGCATCAAACTCCCCACTGATAATAACCAGCACAACTAAAACAATATATAGAGTAGTCCCTCGATTATCGCGGGGGTTACGTTCCAGACACCCCCTGTGATACGTGAAAATCAGCGAAGTAGGGACGTTTATTTTAGCATTTGTATGTATTTTAAGGCTTTATAAACCCTTCCCAAACTATTGCAATGTTCTAAACTCTCTAAATGCTCTAAAAGAGCACAGCGTGTCATGATCTTCGCTCTCTGCCACGCCCACTTCTCCGCTGCAATCACACTCATCACCTGTGTCACTCCCCCTCTCCCTCCTTGCTGCACCTGTGCTCTGCGCTTCTTGAGTGCTCCCCAGTCCCTGCCAGATTGACTGATCACCTCGTGCCTGAAGTATTCAGCATTCTTGTTCCTGCTCTCGTTCCTGACCCACTTCGTGATCACGGATTCCTCGCCCAAGACGGATACTTCCGCCCATCGGGTATCTGGACCTGGACGTCTGCTCTCCCTTCAGACCACCGATTCCAGTTAAACCCCTTGGATAAGTTTAGCTTTTGCTGCCTCTATGTGAATGACCCACGCCCAGGCCCAGAGTGGGTAATCGGGAGGGTCTGGAGATTTCCCGGTGGACTGGTCTGGTGTGTGAGCTGGCGTTCCCCGTTTTTTTTTTTTAAGGGATCCATGATTAGTTGATCACGTTGGCCTAAACCTGTTGTACTTTCCTATTAACTTAAAAATTGAAACACATATAAACAAAGAACACCGCTACCACTGCTCCTCGGCCGTCCCGCCTCTAACCAGGGCTGGCTACAGCTCTGTTTTATTTATTTTTTATAAATTCACGAGTCAGATTTGCAATGTGACCTGTCAATCAATCCAGTAGGCGTGTCAGCAAATGACCAATTGGCAACCTCAAGTTGTCCCGAAGGTAAACGCCCCTTACCTGCAGAGCGGCTGCAGCCCGGACGCTCCCACGTCTGTATTTTTGACCGCAAACTCAGACCCCGGACTCTAGGAGTTGAGCTCTCAGAACCAAGCTCCATATTCTGAAGGGAGTTTGTCGGACCTTCCAGGTTACGCTCACATATCGCGTCCAAACCTCCTTTCCCTCTGACGTCAATGCAGCTTTGGCTTCCCTACCTGTGATCCAGCGCTACAGAGTCATGGCTGACTTTCTCCTCCTTATAAAACTTTAAATATTTTTGCCCTGAGTGGGATTCAACTTCCAGGTAGCCCTCGTAATTCATTACACAGAGAAAGGAAGCCGACAGACTGATGCGCAGGGGTGGACTGGCCATTGGGAGCGCTGGGATATTTCCTGGTGGCCTGGCCCGCTCAGTGTTCAACGAGGGGGACTAACGGCTCGGTTCGAGTCGCGCTTGATTATTGAAAATAAACAATCCATGCCGCTCGTGGAGCTCACTCCATCAATCAGCCAATCGTGTGTGACGTACAATCTTACGTTGAAAACCTGCGAAAGAGTGAGTCTGCGAAAGTCGAACCGCGAAGTATCGAGGGACTACTGTAAATGAGATCAAAGATAAACAAGTGGTTCACTGAAAATATTGTGATTGTTTTATTTCATCCTAAAGGGACAAACTGTCTAAAGCCTGAACTTGTTTCGTTTGTTGTTGAGGATCAATGTTTGAGAAAACAACAAACAAAACATAAAAGTGGGGAGATGCAGGCGCAGAATTTTGATCCCCCCCCCCCCCCCAAGTAAATGCTAATTCATTACTACCTCCATTATTCAATACAGTTGTGCAAAACTTTTATCAATGTATTTATGTTAACAACTTGAGCTAAAAATGTTTTGTATAAAAGATTTAATTTTAATAGAAAACCGTAAACTACTGTACGTTGCAACTGTTGATGGAGGAAGTTACGTAAAGGTCAAGGATGTTTTCACTTATTGATGTTAAATTAATATAGAACCATGTATGTGAAGTCAAGAGAGCCTTTTCTGTCTACTCAGAGAGGAGTCTAATAACTGGTAAACTCTGATAACTTCAGCAACTGTGAGCTATGAAGCAGAGGTCGTGTCTTGACCTCGTCTCTGTCTGATAGGGGATATTTAAGCTTTCGTAAACTCTTTGCCCACGGGCAGACCTTGTGATCAGGGCTTTGTATAACATCTTGTATGTCTGTTTCCAGTTGCTGCACGCCCTTGAAAGGATTAAACCTGTGTTGAAAAGATCTTCCTGTTTCCTTGTGTGGCTTATTTAATTAATGAGTTGATGATAGGATAATTAAATTGTCCAACACAGGAAGAAAAAGAAAAATGTGTGATTGTATTCTTACCAGTCGATGCTCTCGATCCACTTGCTCAGATACTGCCGGATGTCCATGGGGAAGGAGTCGTCATACAGCTGATCCACCTGCTCCAGATACTTGCAGTCCAACAAGGAAAGCTGGCACCACTGCGCCATCTTCTGGTGAGCACGAGCAGCTGCATGAGAATTCGGAGAAAAATCAAAAATGACTTCAATGACGCCTGAAAATCTGAATTTAAAAAGTGTAAAGGCAAGTGAAAAAGGCTTTAACTTGCCAACGTTAATGGCAAAGATTGAAGTTGAGTATAATAAAATTAAATATGTTATCTAATAAAAGAAATTGCATACAACGACTTAATTGAATTTGATTATGGGTCATCAAAATTAGGCCCGTCGCGATAAACGATTAATCAATTAATCGCATGATAAATGAAAGTTATCAACCTCATTTTCATTCTTCGTGTCTTTCTTTGTACCGAAGACACTGGATGACAAAAAGTTCAACTCCGGTGCTCGTCACTGACCCTTCCCTTTTTCTTTTCTCTTTAAAATATGTTTTAACTGCCAAAATCGCGTTTTTGGATCGTTAAAAGAAGCTAAGCTGAGAAGCTAACAGGTCGACCTCAGGGGGGAAAAAATGCCTCCGTCTTGTCGAAGCTCCAAAATTCACGATTGAAACCCGTGCCTTCGTGTAAAAACTTGCTTTTCTCTGCAGAAAGAAGCTGAGAACTTGTTTGCTGATTTTTTTAATTTAAACCTTTGTGTGAAAAATGCTATGCTAAAGAGCTCAAACCACACCTAGCGTCCGCCATTTTGAGAACAAAAAAAAAAAAAGGAAAGACAAGACAGCACATGTCACGTCAAGGGGCCTCCCTCCCATTTTTCTTAGAGATACGCTGCTCGCTCCCTAACTATCCATCTTTCGGTTCAGTCTTATACTGCCATCCGATGGTCAAAAAATGGTACTACACTCATTATAAATTAACCAACATTTCTTCTTAACTTTGACAATAATGACTAATTATTGTCGAATTTCAAACAATGTTATCGTTTATCGCAAAAATTCCTGAGACAATTAATCGCCCAGCAAAGTTTGTTATCGTGACAGGCCTAGTCAAAATGTCTACAAATGATCAAAAGCACTGCAAACAGACAAGTCTGCCTTCTTGCTGATGGGTCACATTATGAGTTATGATCATTTTATTGTCAAATATTTTAAATTCTTAAAATGTCTGATCAACATAAAGGTGTAAGGTTATCTCTTAGCAATGTTACTATATCTTAACGACATTTCAACTGAATTTGAAGCTTTTTTTTTTTTAAATAAAAATGTCGTACATCTTCTTGAGTTTGATCCGTTCCCTTGTATGAATATACATTTTTAATAACTATTTAAATATCCCATCAGCGCTGTCTTTTTAAAATCTTAAGTCATTTACTAGCTTTAAATTCCCAAAAGAAAATAACTGGATCAACTCAGGATGGTTTCCGTTTCCTGCCTTCATCCATCATAGGTCAAAGGTCAAGATGATTGTTAAGAGTCCAGTGTTGATCTTAGTGGTTCTATTCTGAGCTTTTCTTGTCCTGTGCCAGTCTGGTAACACAAGAGTGAAGGAAATCTGAAGTGCTGATACATTAACTGCGCTGACTCCTCCCTGACCCAGTTTTCTTCTAAGAACAATTTTTTTAAAAACTAAAAGCTTCAACAAACATCCTAAATCAATTAGAATAAGAATATAAACACTTGTCTTTGTGCTGCTTCAAAAACTAATTTAAAGAGGACTTTTTTGTTGTTGTTGCCTTTTTAGGCTAAATAAATTTAGTATATTATAAACTTTTTTTTTTTTTTTTTTTTGGGGGGGGGGAGTGAAATGGAAATGTAGAAATTTTTATTTTACATTAAATATAAACCATCATCCGGCCTGTTAATATTATTAACAATTAATAATAGTTGAGAATAAGTTAAGTTTCATTTCACCCCACAAGGATGTTTCAGACTAAACAACCTGAACACATTCACAGTAACAACTCATAAGTCAAAATATATATTTAAAAAAATTAGAAAACAGTGGGAATAAATTTTTTTTTGACTTTGTTATATTAAAATTGTAATAACAATTTTATCACATGGTCGTGAATTTAGATTTTTCATTTCTTCCAAGGTTTTGCTGAAGTTAGCACCTTGACTAGTTTTTTTTCCACCAAACTTTATTTAGATTTTCCTCTTTTTATGAAATCCCTGTATGCAGACTACAAGATCTAAAACTAAAATTATTTTTTATTGTCTTACCTAAGTGTCTGTTTCTAAATGGATAATTCGGCTTAAGTATAATCCACTTGATATTACCTATACCATAATAACTTACATTCAGAATTAATAATAGTCTAGTAAGGTTATCACGGGGTGCGTTTTTTCCACCAAACTTTATTTAGATTTTACTCTTTTTAAGAATTCCCTGTAAGCAGGCAAACAGTTCTAACATTAGAAATATTTTTAACGTCTTACCTAAATGTCAGTTTTAAAATGGATAATTCGGCTTATGCATAATCCAGTTGTCATTACCTATAAACTAATAAACACACATTTATTGTCTGTTTATAGTCAGTGCGTTAGACATGATTTGGTGGGCGGTGACGGACAATCAATGTGTGAGCACCCGTAAAAGAATTTAATCTAAAACTAAAATAAAATGACGGGTGCTTGTCAACTATACATTGTAAACAAGAGAAGAGCAACACTGGCTAACGAGTTGTACGTTATTAAAGTTGTGTATATTAACTTCTGCTAGCTTAGCCTAGTGTTTGGTTCTTGTTTCATATAAACAAGAAGCGAACGTAAAAATCGCTCAATGCATGGGAGGCAGGTGACTTACCTTTAACTCTGAGGAAATCTGTAGACTCTTAAGGGATGTTACTTTTACTGCTGGGACGCTTTCCCTTTTCCTAACTGTGTTCCGAGAGTTTTCGTGTGTCTTAACCTAGCACAGCTACTTTCATGCTTTCATTTATCAGCCAATCACAGCTTAGATTTCACAAAATGCTCCCGCCTTAGTTGGCGTAACAGCCAATCAGAAGTGGCTGTTCCGCCTGTAGGCCAACGCTTCGAAAATAACAATAAAAAAAACAAGTGTTTATTTCAAAGGTGTCCTTTTATGATTATGAACACACGAATTACCTAATAATTTACCATATATAGAACGTGAATGTGCCATATTGTATTTGAAAGTGATTTTACAGTTTCAAAAGTAGAACAATTTGTGCTTTCTGGGGGGAGGATTTGCAAAAGACAGAACAGCAGGAGAGATCACGTGCTTTCAGAGAAAGCGACCAGGAAGTCGAAACTGAAACTTAAGTTTACTGTCATGAACATTATATGTTGCGCTGTGGATTATAATTATTATTAGAATAAATTGTAATTTGTATTAACTTTAATATTAAATAATAATTTAACAATAGATAGTAGAGATAGAGCAGTAGATAAAACCCAAACGCAATAAATTACCAATTCATGCCAATTCCATTCGTGTTTCCCCCACTAAGCATTTTCTAGCCATCTGAAATGCATTTGACTAAATTCATAGGATTAAACTAAATAATAACATAAAATCTGTAAAATTTATATTTATTGTAAGCCTGAACAATAAGCTGAACTTTATCTTAAATTA